GCTGATATAACCAGGTCAATTTCCTGCCACTATGACGACTGGCATAGAAAGCTGTGAATCGCTGATAACTATGTTCCAATTCAGATGGCAAGGCGAATGTGCACGACTGCTGGAAGGGCCATGACCCGGAGCTCAGGACCTGGATACTAAAATCCAAGTCCAGGGGTTCCGAATTCATCAGGTGCTTCTTGAACTGCTCGTTCAAGTCTTTGCTTACGCCGATGTCTTGAAACATTCGCTGAAGTTTGGAGGTATATTCAAAACCACAAGCTTGCTTCAGCTTAGAGATCATGCTGGCCTCGGCATCGTCACTGGCGCTGTTCTGATGCGCCAGCATCTTTGCACAGAACTTCTGGAACACATCTTTGTCCTCAATGTACTTGAAGACAACCATCACTTGATTGAGTGTGTCTTCCAGCTCTGCCTCTTCTGGGTTCTTGGAACTTTTCTTCAACAAGGAATCACAGTACCGAGCCAGCAACTCAGGAGATTTACTGGACGTCTGAGCCATTTTGGTAACTGCATTGTTGTTGATGAAGCGACCACAAGCTTTATCCAGTGCAGACACAAAGCTGGCATCGTTGTTGAAGGCTGACATCACCACAGTGTTGTATTTTTTATGAACATCCAGCACTGTCTGTACATACATTTTGGGGTCATTCAGAGCAGTTTCTCCACACTTCTCGATTGCTGCAAGACCCTAATTATGAATGTACATCTCCAGCAGCTTTTTCAATTCTCCCAGGCCATCCTGGATTCGAGATACAAGATTATACATGCGCCCCAAATCTTCATTTTTGTCAGCATCCAGTAAGTTCTGGAACTCTGTGTGGAAGATTTCCAGGCCAGCTCATCCTGTGTGCTCTCATGCAGATAGACCTGGACTCTCCTCTGGTCCTCCAGCAGACGAGCCTCTGCCTTTTTCATATATTCAGTAACTGGGTTCTGCTGCAAGAATTCAGTACTCTCTCTGGTATAAAATCTCTGTGTCAGCCGAAAATTGAGATTCAAAGGATTCTTTATACACTGTTAACGTAAGGCCCTTTGCAAATGCATCATCTTCATTCAGCCCCAATTTCACATAAGACTGTACAACTCCACTAATCAGTCTTATATTGATGGTCTCACCATTTCTTTCCTTTTCAATCAGTTTTAAAACAGCATTTGTTACCTGTTTATTCAATGGCCTGAATAGACAATCTCTCCAAGTTACCAATGCAAGCGAATAGATTTCATATATTCCTTTTCGTCCATCACATTCACGGCGAACCCAATGTCTATTGAGGTAGGCACAAATTCCATTAAGCACTTTGCTTGAAAATCGGTAATCTTCCCATTGCTGAGTGTAGAACTTCAGTACACTCTCATCCATCAAATCTTCTCCATCCTTAAGAAGATTTGTCAAGAAATTCTTCAAAAATTCCTTAAGTCGTTTGTACAATTCCAAGCCAACAAACTGGGCTCCTCCAGGCGTCTGTTCCTTTTTTGACTTAGAAGGAGGAACTCCAGCTCCTCGGGCTTGTTTCGACTGGTGTATGCTAGTACAGTAGTTATAAACATGAGTGTAGAGTTCCATGTATCGGGACTTGGCGATACTTTGTCTGGTATAGACTTACTGGATTCCAGCTCGGAGGTCTTCCCAGATCTGGTCGAGGCCAATCTGCTTCAGTCCATGGGGATTCTGACTCCTGCTTGATGACATCGTGAGTAATGTTCTGAAGTTGTCCAGTACAGCAATCCTTATTCAAGACACAGCTAATTCCCCATTAGTTGAAAATATACAGTAACATCCCAAATTTATTCACAGCAGCTCAGAAAGGATATCCTTTAAATGTAGAGAATGAAATCTCATTTCAGGCAAACTCGCATGTCCCGGGTGCCCGGCAGGCTTGGGTGACGTGTCCGCCGCTCGCTGGGCCCGGGCCGCGCCAAGCCCGTCCGGCCGAGGTCTGGCTGCGTCCCGGCCCCGCCCAGGCAGCCCCGCCTGGAGCTCTTTAGAGTTGTTTTTATGTCATCTCCACTCTCTCCTGTTTCTTCATTGACTCCAATCAGTCTTATGTTATTCTTCTTTGCATCGTCTAGCAGCTGCTGGATTGATTTCTCATGTTCCCTTATAATTTTGAAACAATTTTTCTTTTCCTGGTCATTAATTGCAATCTTATCTTCTACATCTGAAATTCTGTCCTCACAATGGCTCATTCTGCTGTATAGACTTTCAATGGAGTTTTTCATGTCCTGGAAATCTATTTGCATCTGTTTTATGGATTCCATTTGTTTCCTATGTTGGGATTCCATCATGTTCCTGAGCTCCTCTCTAGAATTATTCATGTCTTGCACTAGGAGCACAATTTCTCCTGTTACCTGAGAAATTATTTCTGATTTCATTTTTTCCAGATCCCCTTTTGTTGCCAGTTCAGTGGGTCCAGATGGTTGAGTATCAGAGTGTTCCATCTCATTTCCCTTTGGAGTTGTTGTAGGTGATCTGGAAGTCTGGTTTTGAGACTTATTTACGTGTTTTATTTCGACTGGGGGGGCGGGGGTGTGCTGTTGGCGCCTGCGTGGCTCACCTCCTCTGAGCTGGGAGAGGTGGGACAGGGGCTGGGAGTGGCGGTAGGGATGGCAGCCCGGAAGCCCCTTCCTCTGGACTGGGAGCAGCAGGATGGATGGCGGCCCCAAAGCCCCTACCTCTGGGCTGGGACCAGCGGGAGGGATGGTGGCCTGGAAGCCCCTACCTCTGGACCAGGAGCAGTGGGACGGCAGCTCAGAAGCTCCTACCTCTCTATTTCCTAGTGTTGAGGACATAGTTGATTCCTATTTCATACTTTGTTGTATAATTTCAGTCATCTCAATTTTTCAGTTTTAAACACAAATAGAAATAAATATATCTTATATTATGACCCAATATACCTGTATTTATATAACAACATTTACTCTGGCTATATTAATATACATTAAAATTTTCCAACCTATTCTATTACATGTAAATGTTTTTTATGAAACAAGAAATTGATTTAAACACCAAAACTCCACTTTTATTAAACGTATTTAACAGAAAAAATAGTTTTTAAAAATGTTTCATCAAGAAAATTATATCCTGACAGTTCTTTCTGGCTTTTTCAGGACATATACGTAGCTTTTTATTTTGTTTTGTTTTTGTACCAGGGATCAAACTCAGGACCTTGCACTTGTGAGGCAGGCGACAGAACCACTGAGATAAATCCCTGGCCCTACGTAGCTTTTAAAGTGGTATTTTTCCTCTCCCCCTTTTCTATATATCACTTTCAGGGTATGTGAAAAAGGCAAATGCTTGTTCCTAGCTTTGTTCCTTTTTCATTTGTCTCTGATTGTACAAGAAATGAAAAAATACCTTCTTTAATGTTTTTATGTAGCCATTATCAAAGTAAACATTTTTTTATATTGCTGGCAGAATCTCAGGAAACACAGCACAGAAAACCATAAAATGTTTTCACAGGTATCTGTATTTTTAAATTTAGCTTGTCTTTTTTCTGACCATGCATACTCCCACTCACCTGATAATCTGTTCAGTTTCAGGAAGCCCTCAATTTCTCTTTCTTACTCAATTATCGTCCTTCCTGCCACTGACCTATGTTTGAAAACTCTGTGTAACTTGCTGGGTGTTTATATAATGGAGGAAAAAGAGAGACAAGGAGGAGGAGAGGAGCAAAATATCTGAGGGGAGAAAATATGTGGACATGCATTTGAGTATAAATTTGAAGCAACGTATGTTTATATCGGTCAGAATACATTTTTCAATAAAGGTATGCACAGGAAGACATATCTTCTGGGTCATAGCTTATGTTTAGTCTGGAATTTGAGCGTATCTAAAGGTATATGGTAAAATACTGGGAAGTTCCACACTGGTGGCACCTACCTTACGCTAGGTTCTACCAAATGAAAACAACAGGGAAAAAGACTCAAGGAGAGAGCAATACTCAGCTACTCCACATACCTCTTCTATCACCCTATGCTTCAGAAACACACACAAGTGTGTCAGTATGTATGCAGAAAGATTCTGCTTAGCCCTGTAGTGACAGTTTTATAAAAAATATTTAAAAATAATATATCAAATTACTATTCTTTTATTATATTATAAATATATTTATCTTTCTGGTTTTTTTTCTGTCAGGATCTTGCTATGTAGTTGAGGCTGGCCTTGAACTCATGGTGATTCTCCTATCTCAGCCTCCCAAGTCCTGGGATTACAGGAATCTGCCACCATGCCCAGCTTTTTTCCTATTCTTTTACAATGGACTAACTTTATTAGTTCGGTGTACTGAAAGGAGGAAGTCCATAATATCCTGTTGAATTTTTTTTAAAAGTGAGGAATATTACACAACATGACTCAGTTTTTGACTTAAGAAAAGGAAAAGAATGGAAAATAATGGATGAAAGAAAGAAAAAAATAAAAAAGAAGAAAACTTTAATGAGTTTACAAACATGTTTGTGTATACTGAAAAAAGTTTCAAAGACTACACAATAATCTATTAATCTATACAAATGCTGACCTCTAAGCAAGGAATTGTCTTTCTTTTTTTTTTTTGGTACCGGGGATCAAACTCGGGACCTTCCACCAGCACGAGGCAGACGGTGGGACCACTGAGCTAAATCCCCAGCTCCAATTTTCATTTTTTTACTTGACATATTTTTACACCATTCGAAATTGTTTTCTTTTAGTAACAGACATGTATTACTCTTTTTTTAAAAGTCAGAAAGTATAAGGATTAAAACTCTTTAAGTACAAGTTTTTAAAGAACAAAATTGATTTTCAAATTAGGTAGATTATCAGCTGCAAAATCACTCATCCATGGGCTGGGGATTTAGCTCAGTGGTGCTCACACCTGCCTTGCAAGCACAAGGTCCTGAGTTCAATTCCCGGTTCCAAAAAACAAAATTACTTATCCATCTCATATTTTGTAAATAAAAATACATTCATGAAAATATGAACATATTTGACATTTCAAAAATGTAAAGATACATACAAAATTGTGTGTTGTAAGTGGAACATTCTCCAACACTTCTACGTGCAACTCCTCCCCAGTAAGCCAGGAAATATCAGTGTCCCAGCCAATTGGTTTCTTCTCTCTGAAAAAGACATAAGCCTTTCTTGGTTATCATACCTCAAAATATTCATATACCTCATGCTGAAGATATGAAAACTGGTTACTGAAAGGCTAGTAATAGGGAGGTTTGGCTCCCTGATCTTCCATCATTAGAAATCTAAATGGCAATAAATTAATTCTTAAGTTTACCCCAAATAAATGTATCAGTCCTGGACAAATGGCAGGTTAAAGAGATGTACTCTTTTCTTCAAGTCAGCTCCAGGAAAGATCTACAACAGCAAAAAATGGATTGTTCCTGGGGTCCCCATAAAAAAAAAAAATCACAAATATGGACTTCACTATCAAATCAGAGAAAAAGAGTACTCAAGGCACAAAATGTCCCAAGAAAGACCTGATTCAAAATTTGGTTTCAAAATTCCCAAGTCTTGGAACAACTGTTAGACATTTTCTGAAAGAAAAATACTTCAAAACAAAATGTAAATTTTGATAAAACTTCTGTGAAACTATGACTTTTTGTTAAAAACAGAGGAGTGGGTAAGGGTATACTACCCAGATAAATCACATTCTAAATGGTTGAAAAATGGTAAAAATCTCAAACTTCAATGAAGTCATCTGAGTAACACACTATAGTCATATAAAATTATCAATGGCTTGTAAGATTTCTCTAGGCTTAGTATTAATTAATTAATTATTTTTTTGGCTTAGTATTAATTTAAATTTTTTTCCTAAAGTTGATTTTCAACTCTGTAGGTATGGGTAAAGTTCCTACAGAAAACCCTGAAGCTTACTGTCAGATTTTTTTCTTTTTTTCTTTTTTTGGGGGGGGGGTACCGGGGATCGAACTTGGGACCTTGCGCTTGTGAGGCAGGTGCTGGAACCACTGAGCTAAATCCCCGGCCCATAGATTTTTTTCTTTTTAAACAAAATTTCACAACACATACAAACCATACCCATCCTGAATTCTGTAAACAGCACAGCACTCTGGGATAAGACCTCTCATCATCAGTGCTTTCTTTAGACTGTCTCGGACTGTAACTCCACACCTTGCGGGTACCTATGGTATCATAAATACACATAAGAGGTAAAGGGAATAGCTTTTCTTTCACATCATTAAAAAAGAAACAATTTATTTTTATAACACCTCTAAAATGTCATACAGATCACTAGGTCAATGTAACATCAATTCTGTAGCTTGTTTACTACTAAAGGGGAATTATAACCCAATAACTATTATTATTCACCAGCTTACAGCAAAATTTACTTTTGGTCTTTCATTAAAATTATGAAGTATTTCATGAACATGAAAAACAGAATAGTACCCACTATAATATAAAGTACACACCATCAAGAAATAACAGATGTCAACATTTAAAGCAAAATCAATTTTGATCCAACACTGTTCAAAGCTGAAAGCTCTGTAATCTTTCAATCACACTGATGGTCCTTAAGGGACCTCTTACTGACCCCTAACCTTGGTAGGAAGAAAATACTTGTCTTAATATGCATAAGTGATATCTGCTGTTTAGTTGTGCAGTACCCCTATTTCTTCTGGGTTCCTGCCCTTTAGAAATTCACATGGAACTAGAGAAGCTATCAATCAAGGGTCACTCATTTTCTGGCTACAAATGACATCAACTGGCTAATCAGTTTCCTGTATCTGTAGGAATAGCAACTGGCCTGGGCTACACATACACACAATCTCTCTTTCTCTTCTGTGTGTGTCTGAGTCTTTGTGTCTCTCTGCAAACAGCACGTGAGTTCTTCCCTAAAGTGATAAGTGGGCACTGGCTTAGACAAGTTTCCAGTTATGCTATAGTTACCACACGCCAAGATGATTCAAATCTGGAGTGCTAGGTGGCCACCCCTCTCACTATGCTGAGAAAGTCTGGCTACAGAACAACGCTAACATAGGGAGAAGTACAGATGACACCCAGAGCAAGGAAGGACAAGAAGTGACTGAGATGGTACAGCTGATCATTATTCATGGGAGTCCGTACCTGTGCATTTGTCTGCTTGCTAAAATTTATTTATAAGTCCAAAATTAATACTTGCATTGATTTTGCAGCTATGAGCAGAGAAATGAAAATTCTGTGTTGCCTGATGTATGTCCCTTCCCAGCCGACACTGGACAAGGCAACGCTGTTGTCTGCCTTCAATTTCCATACTACACGCAAATATGTCACGCGTAGACCATTTACTGCCACATTCTTTGTAGTTTTGTGCTTTTTGTTTAAAATACCTTCCTAGCGCAATGCTTTAGCGCTTTTCAGTGCTCCTAAGTGCAAGAGTGAGGTAATGTGCCTGGCAGGGAAGTAATAAATATTAGGGAAACTTCCTTCAGTCATGAGCTACAGATGTCAACCATGAATTAAATGTTAATGAACCAGCAATATATAACAAATAAGGGGTCTTTAAACATAAACGCACATAAAACAAGGTTCTGTACAGAGTAACTGATGAAAACGTGACCAAAGGCTCACAAGAACCTATTTTGAGTTCACAGGATTCGAGGGCCAAGCAAGGGAAATGGAATGACCACAAGGTGGCAGTAGCACACATGAACTTTATGTGGATGCTGCGCCAAGACTTGTATGCAAGGGGAAGTTCTTTCCATCAGGAGACTGTCCAGAGGCTGGAAAGAGAGGACCAAAGGAATGCCAGTGGAGAGGGTCAGGACGTAGGGCCTTCTGTGTCTAGATAAGGTTGCTTAATAGCCTGGCAGGGAGTCTCCAGATGAAAGAACTCCAAAGAACAGCAGCACCTTGGGGTATTCAACTGCTCTGCCAGAGTTCATCTATGGCTGGCAGATGTTGAGTGTATGGCAGTTTTGTGGGAGTTGTAAAGTAGGTAGGGTCTCAATGACTAAAACTCTGCTTGGTAGGGTTATGCTTAAAATAATCAGATGTTTAAAAAATTAGCTTGGAGCAGGCACACTTTTATGTTAACAGATACCAATCTGCAGTGAAGAAATAAGGGGTCAACACACAGAGGCTATTTCTAGCTCATTTATGTAACAGTTACCTATTTTCCTTAGGAACAATGGATCCGTATTCATTAACTCAGTGTTTGTAGCAAAGTTATAGAACTTAACTACGTGAATTATGAAAACTGGCTGTACTTTCCAGAAATAATGAACTGAAAAGTTCATTCTTTCCCTTTGCCACTCATCTACCCACACTAATGCAGAATCCTACCCTTAGTTTTAAATTTCAGTTGATCTCACTCCATGTCACCATAGAAATCTTTCTAAAGATGTATTTTTAACTTTTTGTAATGTCTGAGAATTGGATGAAAGCCTCAGACACGATCTCTGAAACATATCTCAGAGAGTTCATGCAAAGTGAATCCCCTGAACTCTGCATTGAACCCATTCTAAGATACAATATCAAATTTCACTAGTGTGCTTAAAATATTTTCATTATACATAGGGCAAAATTCAAATTCCTTACTGTGGCACAAAAGGTCATCAATGGCCTTGGCCTGCTATCCACCCGTCCACTTGATTGGCAATTTCCTTCATGTACTCCAGTAATGTATTCCAAATACTTAGCTTCCTGATTTTGTAATTTATCTTGATGTGAAATCTTCTTTCAGGACTGTTAACCAGTCACAACATTGTTTTCAAGAAAAAAATTTGATATGATATGTTTACAATATGGCCTTCAAGTATAAAGAAGAGGTAATCTATACTACAAAAGTCTTGAGTTATGAGCACATTTAGAGTTAAGTCTGTCTCTTAGTCATGCTGGATGTGACTTGGCAAAGAACTAGTAACCACAAAACTCACAAGGATAACATCTCTAACTGCTAAACTGCTGTCCTGATCACATAAAAATAAAAACTACAGTTAATTAATTACTTCATTAGCAACTGAGGTGAGCTGAGACAGGGTCCCCCTATATAGTTCAAGCTGGCCTTGAACACGTGTGGCTCTTATTAGCACTTTGAGGGGAAAAAACTTTCTTGACAAGGGAAAAGCCCTTTCATTTTTGGTAAAAGTTAATGGAATTTATGAGGAATCAAGAACATCTGGAGGCTGGGTGTGTGGCTAGCTCAGTGATACAGCGCTTGCTCTGCTTGTGTAAGGCCCTGGGTTCCATCTCCAGCACCACAAAGGAAAAAGAGAAAAAAAAAGGAAAAGAATGTCCCAGACTCCACATTAAAACAGTAATTTAAATGCCAATACAAGCTAATACTTCTCCTCAAAAGTATTCTAATTCACAAAGTCACTATGAGTATCAAAATGAGAGTGTGCTTTTACAAACAATAAACTACTATACAAAAGTACTGCCCGGCATGGTAGTGTATGCCTGCAATTCTAGCACTTGGGAGGGTGAGGCTACATGGTGAGTTCAAGGCCAGCCTGAACTATATAGCAAGACACTGTCTCACCTTCCCCAGAAAGTATTATTCTTCCTATCTACAAAGAAATCAATTACCCTTTTAACATGACTTGTAGATCTTATGTTTCTGCTTTGCTGTGGCTAAAAATAAAGTAGGAGGATATTTCTAGGGGTTACAGCATTTACTCTAATCTAATGATGCTTCTTTACTATCAGCCAATTTCATTAAATCTACTTATTCGTACAAGTAAGCATCAAAGTTTCAGGTATTAGTTTTCCAACAAACTAGCTAAAATAAGAATATCTTTTCCTTATCCTCTTTTATTTCACCAACATTTTTTAATTCTAACACAACTAGGATATAATTTTGAAGCATGTGATCTTGTCCTACCTGTTTCCTTCGTCTTTCTGTCCACTTACCTTAGAAACAATTAGGATTAATATGAACCTGATTGTTTTTACAATCAGATATTTGTTTACAAATGCCAGGGTATGGTAAATTCAAATATTCATTCTTCTAGAAATAGTTACAGAACATTACAAAGTGTTAGGCAATACTATAGTCACTGGATAAACCAAAAAGATAAGCTGCTCTCACAGAGCTAAAACCATCTCACAGATGCTAACATTAATTTAGTAGTTTTAGAAACATTTTCAGATTCCAGTTTCTTTACAGCCTTTGAACCAAATGTGCATATGCTATGACTCAGGAATTCCCCTTTCAGGTCTGTAACACAGAAATACCTGTCACTGGTGTAGAAAGAATTTTGTACAAAGACGTTCACATTTCAGCACTGTTTGTAATAAAAAAAGTGAACATAACCTAGATGTCCACCAGTGGAGGAATGGATAGACAAGCTGTGGTACAATCAGAAGTCAGAATATGATAATAGATCAACTGAATGAACTAGGTCTATATGTATCAACAAATGCATATGTATGCCTTAAAATTACAATTCTGAATAAAAAGGACAAGATATGTGTATGTAATAGTAAGGTTTAAAAATATGGTTGAATGTACCTCACTTTTATCTGGGGGTGTTGCTTTTTTGGGGGACAGAGTGGGATGGTGGGTAGCAGCAAGGGAATATGACTGGTATGAACCTAATTTATGTGTATGTATACTATGAAGCAAATATCTAAAAAATAGTGTTTGTTCATCGCAAATAAACAATATATTGACCTTGAATAATTTTCCATATAAATATTTAAAGCCTTCTAAATAAGAAATTAAAAAAGAAAACTACAAATGATCCTTTCTAAATGTTAAAGTAGCCTGGGGCCATCTTGGCACTCTCCTGTAATACCAGTACTCCAGGAGGCTGATACAAGTGAGATCCTGTCACAAAAGTAAAAATAAAAATAAGAGCTGGGGATGTAGCTCAGTGCAAAGGCCCTGGGTTCAATCCCTAGTGTGGTTGGGTAGGCGGGAGGAAGACAATAAGTGCTAAATCAAAGCTACCCAAAATAAGTGCAAGTATATACAACTTATGAGCTAGGCTTCTGTTTAGTAATGTAAAAGACCACTTTTAGGGGCTGGCTACTTTAGACTTTTTTTTTACACAAATGTAACTAAAATTTTTTTATATATTAATAAAATTTTTATACAGTAATAGAATTCATACACACATATAGTGCATACTGACCAAACCCAACCTACCTTTTCCCTACCCCCTCCAGACCCTTCCCAATCCCTAGTAGTCACTATTCT